CAGGGGAGAGAGAACACTATGGGACAGGGGAGGGAGGGGGAGAAAAGAACACTATGGGACAGGGGAGGGGGGGAGAAAAACACTTAAAAAAGAGGGAGGGGAGAGGAACATTAAGGGAGGGACTAAGGTACAGGCAAGGGAAAAGGAACACTGGGTAGGGGGGACCACTAAAAGAGAAGGGAGAATGAAAGTTTTTCATATTAGATTCATTAAATTAATTAAAAAGTCTAATATTAATAAAATTATTGAAAAAAACTATTTTAAAATCATTAGGGGGGAAAAGTCAGTTTCGGTTTTCGGCCAACTGCATCCTGGATTTTTGTTTTTGGCCCAGAATTTTCATTTCGGTGCATCCCTAATTACTAGTGAGCCCCTTTGTTCAATAGAGGTTGCTTGCTGTATAAGTTGTACACCCAAAAGGCTGGTACTGATGCTAACATATGAGATCTGCTGGGATTTAGTTCTGACAAGGCCCGTGCAACACCTCCAGGGTTATTCAATGAAGTGAGCTTTCTCAGGAATTCTAGGGGAATTTTTGAATTTAAGCCTTAAATAGCCAAAATGGAATGTTTCTTCAGGCCAGCTATATTTACAGTTTTGCTATTTTGGCCTTAGATTTGAAATTTACTTTGAATTCCTAACAATTCTTATTTTAGTGCATAATCATTGTGGTCTAGTGGGAAGAGCAGAGCTGTACTTTTTTTTCTTTGTTTTATTGAGGTAAGGCATTCAGCATATAGGAAAGTCGGGTAATGTATGAATAATAACGGATAAACAATATTGCATTAAAGAGATGAAAAACAACATTCAAGTAGATCATACTTTTTATTATTTGTAATACAGGAGTAAGCTTATGCGTTGTGTAAGACAGGTGTGATGTCTGGCAACTTGTGGTCATAGCTGTGTGCTAATGAAGACATATCTGGGATGCCTAGGTGAATTAGGTTTTAGTGCTCGGTGAGTATGAGATAAGGCCCTGTCTTGTCAGAGGTGTAACATAGGAAGAGACATGCTAAAAGTTGCGCAGCAGTGAAGTCCCCTACCATGTTGAGTTGTGGTTGATGCGTAAAGACTACTCTAGTCAGAGGCTAGTCAGGCGTGGTATTGATTCGTCAATATTGCTCACTTGTCAGGAAGAGTGTGTAGGTCATTAAAGGTGGCAACTGCCAAGTCGATTGATGCCATTAATGATGGCAACAGTGATGTTGTGAGATAAAACCCTACCAGGAGTTCTGCGTATGATGTTTCAAATAATGAGTACGTCCCCTAACCATGGAGAACACGGGTGTGTATCATCGTCAGAGCTTATGACCTTCTCGCCACTGAAAAGAGCCCACAATATGGTGTTTGAGTCCACCAAAAAGAAAATAGTAGTACCGGTTGCCTACTGTGTGCCAGGTGCATGTATGAAAGTAAAAGAACTTAGAATATAGAAAAAAAGCTCAAGTCAGAGCTTCTTGCCTCCTCTAGGGATGAAGAGGTCCCAGATATGTGAGGTAGAGGGGGTCGCAGTCGTTGTCAAACTTGTAGGGATCCCCAGGGCTTGGAGGAAAGCATCTGCTTGTAATTACACATTCGGACACCTGTCGTTACACACTCGGACACGTCTCATTACTTTCCAGCTACCAGAGACCATCAGTCTAGCAAGTAGTTTGATAAAGGTTTTCAGGGTCATTGTAATGGAAGCTGAAATAGACTCTGTCAATGAGGACCAAAGGACGGGGGGACAGCGTGTGAGTTACTCCCAGATCCATGCTGTTAAAGGACCACTATAGTGCCAGGAAAACACACTTGTTTACCTGGCACTATAGTGCCCTGAGGGTGCCCCCACCCTCAGGGATCCCCTCCCGCCGGGCTCTGGGGAGAGGAAGGGGTTAAAATCTTACCTTTCTCCAGCGCCGGGTGGGGAGCTCTCCGCCTCTTCTCCTCCTCTTCGGCTGAATGCGCATGCGCGGCAGGAGCTGCGCGTGCATTCAGCCAGTCTCATAGGAAAGCATTCATAATGCTTTCCTATGGACGCTTGCGTCTTCTCACTGTGATTTTCACAGTGAGAAGCATGCAAACGCCTCTAGCGGCTGTCAATGAGGCAACCACTAGAGGCTTCAGAGGCTGGATTAACCTATTTATAAACATAGCAGTTACTCTGAAACTGCTATGTTTATGAAAAAAATCGGTTAACCCTAGCTGGACCAGGCACCCAGACCACTTCATTAAGCTGAAGTGGTCTGGGTGCCTAGAGTGGTCCTTTAAGAGAGTCTACAAGTGGGAAATCTGCTAACTACATGCAAAATTCATGATGTTTCATGAGAACAGTCGGTGGGACTTGTGCTAAGAATGTCAGATTTTAAAATCTGACGCCTTAATGAGTGCATGAGAAGTTCCCATAATGAATTTAAAAATGGCACCAACCTTTAGCTTCTTTTTAGTGTGCACCTGTCTAGAAAATGACATTTGTCTGATTTTTTATTTTTTTTGTATTGTTATTTTTTTGATTCCATGTTTTTATAAATAACTGTGGCATTTGGCACTCCTTGTCTTGGACGTTGGTGTTCGGCCTTGGGGATTATGTTCCGCATACTTTCGCATTTTGTCATATCTCTACAGCTTGTGAAAATAAGATGTGAGAAAGACTCATTAACCCCTTCAGGATGGAGTCAATAGTGCACGTTCTGATCAAAACAAAACGTAAAGAAAAACTGGAATTTGCCCTATATGTCTGTTCAACCGTAAGTCACCGCTGTCACATTAAGTTCCCCCACACTTATTATATATCATTTTGTTTAGGAGAAACTGGGCTTTAATTTATCATTAACTATTCATATATGGAACATAATTTATTATGAATAAAATTTAAAAAAATGTGAGAAAATAAGATCTTTTTTTAAATTTGTATTTCCGTCTGACATTTTAGCTGTGAATGTCATAATACTGTTAGGTTTTACTGCAAATAAATGCATAAATTTGTAATCAGCGATGTCTCACGAGTACAACAGTAGCCCCCATTAACAGGTTTTATGGTGTTTTGGAAACTTACAGGGTCAAATATAGAAAGTTCCATTTTCAAATTGAAATTTGCCAGATTAGTAATGTTACCTTTGAGATGGTGTGGTAGCCCAGGAATGAGAATTTCCCCCATAATGGCATACCATTTGAAAAAGTAGACAACCCAAGGTATTGAAAGTGGGGTATGTTTAGTCTTTTTTAGTAGCCACTTAGTCACAAGACTGGACATACCCCACTTGCAATACCTTGGGTTGTCTACTTTTGCAAATGGTATGCCATCATGGGGGTAATTCTCATTCCTGTGCTACCATACGCTCTCAAAGGCAACATAACCAATCTGGCAAATTTCAATGTCAAAAAAATGAAATGCAAGCCTTATATGTGACTCTCTAACTTTCTAAAACACCATAAAACCTGTAGATGGGGGGTACTGTTATTCTCGGGAGACTTCACTAAACACAAATATTAGTGTTTTAAAACAGTAAAACATATTACAACAATAATATAGTCCATAAAAGTGCCTTTCGTTTGTAAAAAATGCAAAAAAAGTCACTTTTACTTAAAATATCATCATTGTAATACAATTTTGAAACACTAATATTTGAGTTTAGCGAAGTCTCCCGAGTAAAACAGTACCCCCTATGTACAGATTTTATGGTGTCTTGGAGAGTTACAGGGTCAAATATAGTGCTTGCAAATTAAATTCTCTGCACTTTCTCCCTGTGTTGTCAGGCATGTCAATCAAATTTTAATTAATCAAATCACATAATTATGTTAAAAGATTACTTAAATATACACGTAGAATTTTAATATATATGCATTTATAGGTATTTAAATTCTACATGTATACTAATGTAATCTTTTATATAATTATATGTATTTATCTATATATATTTGCGGATATTTGTATTTTATATATAGATAGATATATATAGAATGTCATTCTAAGTGTATTTTGTTACCAATATATATATATTAATAACAAAATACAGTTAGAATGAAATTTACATATGAATATAAATTCAATATTTTATTTATTTTATTATTTTATCTATTATTGTAATTATATGTGTATATATATATATAAATATATATAATATGTGTATATATCTATAATATAATAATTATACATATTATATATATGTAACGTCATTCTAAGTGTATTTTAATACTAATATATGTGCTTATATTAATATTAAAATACACTATGTATGACGTTATATATATATAATATATACATATATTATATATTTATAAATATATTTATTTTATTTTAAACATGTTTAAATTTTTTTTTTTTTTTTACACTTTCCACCAGCAGGGGGACTGTCTGATATTTCCACAGCCAGATCCACAGCCAGCTATAGGGGGCCATGTGATCGCTCTTTGAGAGCGATCACATGGCCCCCGGGGGCCTCATGTGCCGGGGGATGGCTGTCTGGGCTGTGAGGCAGTCCTCCCGAAGCGGAGCGCTGGGAAGGTAAGTATCCTGGGCGCTCTGGGGGCTGCAGCCGTTACGGCGTTCTGTGCCGCCACAACGGCTTTAAAGCCCAATTAAATCGGGACGGCATAGAACGCCGTAACGGCGTGAAGGGGTTAATGTGTTGCTTTGTTGACTGGTTACAGACAATTTTGTTTTCTTTTTTTCTTCTCATGTAGATTATGGGTTATTTCCTAAACTGAATTTTAAAGAAATAGCAAGAGGAAATACAAATAGAAATGAACTGATCCAGAAATCATACATTCTCTAATTGCTTTATTATTGATGTTAACATTAATAACTACCCCAGCTTTCTGCTCATCATTGATGTCCAAATTTCTCGAGAAAGTAAAATCCCTCAATATCACGATGACCACTGAAGAGTTGGACTTTGGGGTTTTGTTAAAATACTACAACAAGCTGTAGGGGATATGCTGGTTATAATGTCTACCGTACATCACTCAGCTTACCCCTTGTATTCCACAGTATACTTCTGTGATCAAGTAATATATTTTAAAGAAATCTTTAATATGAGTGAAATCCTTTGCTGTGCACCAAACTGTAGATCCTTCCTAATATTGTTCAGTGCAAAAGTACAACATAGTTGAGATTAGTTTGCGTGGTTAGAACGGGAGTGTTGAATTCCTCAAATACTGGATGACTACAATCCTCATCAGACTTCGTCAGTCGTTAGGTTGCAGATAAACTGTTTGGGGACACAAATCATCACCATGGGGCTAGAATTATGGGGTTTTTTTGTTCCATGAGCTTGAGGCTGTTGATTGTGTTGACAACAATAAATTACAGGTACTCACGCATATTGACTCTTGTAGGCAGTGAATTCTAACTATATGAGAGGTAACTATGTACATTTTAGAAAACAGGTTTGTGTACGTGGTTATCTAATTCAAATGTTTAAAAAATGCAGGAAGCCCTCAAAATAAATAGAGGTGTGGGTAAAGGTATTTTGACAGGGCATTCAGACTGACAGGTTATACAGCAGAAATACCTGATTGACAGGTATTATTTTTGTTTTCTTGGGCAGTCGCTGCCTATATATATAAAGCTAGGTTATTCTCACTGGTACAGGACCTTTGGAATGAAGAATAGATTTGACTCGTTTGTGTTCATCAAATGCGTAATCTGAAGGTGAAAATCCCCGAGTTCAAGCTCTGAAGAAATTACCGAGAAGAACTCTTTCTGACCCAGAATTACTTAAATTCTGTTATTTTGTTGTCACTATTTGTTTTCTTTCATCCTTTCTGGGAGTTAGTTTAAGGTAGCCATAGAATGGGTGATAAACTAAGAGTTAAGGGAAATAGAATGAAGAGTGCGATTCTACCTGTGGCAACTTTATGGAATCAGAAGGTATACTGAGCCAAGGCTATTCTGGAAGGTCCATACTTAGGTGCCTTGAAAGAAGGCATTTTATGTTCTAATATGGAGGGTTATGACTCATGGAAGTTTTTTCTAGATACACTTTAACTTTTTGTAGTCATTAAAAGGAGCTTTGAACAAGGTGCCTAATTAGCTTACATTTCTATTCAGTCGGCTGATTTACAGCTGATCGAGGTGGGTAATTTAGTATTGGTCAGTGGGGAAAAGCAGGGTGATCAGACGGAACAGCAGTTTAAAAAGGTGTTATCCATTCTTTTATTTTCAATCTATTTGCAGCAGATTTTATGTAAAAAATATATGTACATATGGTCTGTAAATTATGTTAGAGCAGATATAAGTATGTTTATTTTTATGTCCGTATACATAACCTCTATCAGAAGGGAATGTGTTTTCTTATTCAATATCAGCTGGTAAGCTTTGATTGAGAGAGAGGAAATATGAAATAGCCCCTTCCTTCAATGTCCTCAATAATTTACTAACATATTGAAGTCGGTAAATATTTGGGCAACGGTTTCATTGAACTATAAAAATACAGTTATTAAGGAGTAAACTACACATTTTTAACAGATTTTAGTTACATGTGTTTTATTAGTTAAATTCAGTGTTACTAGATTAGGCAACCTCTGTCTTATCTGTCGGTCTGTTATTGGTCTATCTGTCTACATATAGAATATGTGTCTGTCTATCTGTCTTCTATTTGTCTGTAATTGATTGGCCTGTCTATTTAAAATGTATCTGTCTGTCTAATCGTACCTATCTATCTGTCTGTCTGTCTAATATCCGACTGTCTAGTATGTATATATGTGTCTGTCTGTCTATCAATCTAATATATATCTTTATAAATAGTTTTCTTTAGATTGTAATATTTTCACCTACTGTTCCTATATGTCAAGCATGTTTTGCTAGTATTAAATGTTTCAATTGTTTACCTATTGTACAACCTATGGAATATGTAAAAATCATTGTATCTATAAGATGTGATGTATGTACAAAATCTTTCTCCCTTCATGTTGCTTCATTTTTACTTACCAGACTATGACACGGTTCTATATGTCCATTTATTTGTGTCCTATCTATCGTATATCTCTTCTTTCTCCGCCAACTTTTATCTCTCTCTTTTCTTTATTCTTCCACTATCTCTTATAGCTCTCTCTCCATATCATAACTATCCATCTGCGTGGTCACATATTTGTAAATTATTTATTTATTTATTATTTCTCTCGCTCAGTTTATAAAATGCACTATATACACACAAATACGTTTTTATAAATAAGATATCGCTGTGTTTAAAAATGAAATCTTTGTACACAAATAAAAGTCTAATATTGTTTATTTGGCCTTTTCCATTTATTTGTTTTTGGAAGGCTCCATGAATTAATAAGTATGTGACCACTTGACTCTAATAGCAAAAAATTTACAAAACTATGGATTTATGTGCTGATTATAAAATATATAGAGTGTATACATACATGTTACCAATGTTAAATCATTCCAACAAATGTTGATATTTGTTTTGTGTTTCTTTTTTGTCTCTGAGACGTTTTAAAATAAAAGTGGGAAATCCAAGAACTCTCTTATTTGAGCAGACACATACACTATAGATATTTGCAGTGCAGCCCAAATGATTGTTAAATATATTATACAGAACGTCACTAATCATTAACTTCAACCTAACAGAAAAGGCAATGTTTCAACTGTCTATGTGTCTTCTTTAAGGTTCTAGAACACTTGTGCAGTGTTAACATGCTGCCATTTTTTGTTGTTGGCCTGAATATGAAAGGACGTGCTGTAAATTTAGTTTCCTGTTTTAAACACATGTGGGGAGGAGTCATAATAGTTGTCTATTTCCGACTGGAGTTCATACAGCTCATTTATTATTACTTAGAAAAAGGAGTTGGGAGAGATTGGTCCGTACCTAGTAAATCCACACTCCATCCTATATTGCTATCAGATTTGGAAACGGGTATATCACCTATGCCAGAAGGGTCTTCCAGATGTGCCCCTCATCACAACAAACCAAGGTAAATGGACCAGGAGGTTTCCAGCGTACTGTAAAAAGGCTATTAATGGGAGTGTTAACAAGGTTTAGAGATCGGGGGGACAATAGGTGCCTGCGTAAAACCCTTTTGCACCACCTGAAATGAGATCTATCATTTAGATTACTCCTGACCGTTTGAAAAGTATTTAATTATGATTTGATATGGCTGAATAATAAGGTTCACTAGCAATATTTTACTTACGCTGATTTGCAGAAAGAGAGGCTGTGTCTGTAATTAAAGGGGGTGGGTCCTGCCACGAGGTCAGTTTTTATAGTCAGACACACATCTTATAAATGGTTTAGTTTATATTAAATGTCTTATCTGTCTGTCTGTTATTGGTCTATCTGTCTAAATATAGAATAAGTGTCTGTCTATCTGTCTTCTATTTGTCTGTAATTGATTGGCCTGTCTATCTTTCGGTGGTAAATGTAGATTTTCTTGCATAATGATGAGTTAACGAGCGACCGTACAGTACTTATAACAAATGGTCATTGTTTTGCTGCATGTGTGGAAGATATATGAGAGTTTCTAACATCGGCCATTGTATGTCTGAGCATGAGTATTGCAGCCACTCCCATTCAGCCATTTTAGATCTAAACAGTCATTAAAATGTCCTTAAATGGTTGTCTGGTTGTCAACATGCCTTTATTTACCAGCATTTAGGTGACAAAAACATTATTAAAAATAACTGTATTTATAGATCATGTTTTGTTTATTTACACTTACTAGCAAGATAAATAAAATGTTATATGTATAAACCGTATAACCATGGTGTTTCTTTATGGTAATGGGCTTGTCTAAATAGAGATCTTTAACAATGATCATATCGCCTTTTCCATAAAATAATAAAAGTGGAGCAGAAATATACTATTTTTAAAATAAAAAAAGACAACATGAGACTGTATTTGGATGTATTATTTAGTTTATTATATATTTGGGATGGTAGCAATGTGAGAAAGTTACTGTTACTTAGCCCATTGAATGACCACATAATAACTAAGAAAAGAGTGGTATGAAGAGATGTTAATGTGGTGCTTCACCGATCTCTCCTCCATCCTTCCTATAAACAGACTGTTCCGTTGGAACACACCGGACAAATTCATGTATCACCATTGTTCTAGCCTGGGTAAATCATTGGGAGGAAGAGAAATCTCTACATGTATTAGTTTCAATGATCCCAGATACCCTTCCTACATACACAGTCCAGCATCCTACATATAAAATTATTATTTATTGTATGTCCTGCAATAAAACTACAGTGAACATATATTTAACATTTGATGACTGGAAGACAGCCACTAGATGTGCATTCAGAACTGCAATCAAAAAATGTGCATGTATAAACCGACAGGGGCCTTGGTACCTTTAGTTATTTAAAACAATAAAAATAAATTATTAATCAGAGATTGGTATTCAATGTTTTGCACTTGCTTATCCATCCAGGAATAAAATCGAGTACCAAAACCACCATTTGTTATTTTCTATTCTTTTATAACTTACAGTACTATCAATATTAACCACTCATTTATAAAGTACACCTTACTGTCCATCCGGGGAAGATTTAAGTTTTTGTCAAAATAATATCGATTATTATTTAGATACTTTTCCCCCATCATCATTCCTCTCATTCTAAAACCATTTGAAAATTTCAAATTATATTAAATGTACATAGGGTTTCTACAACATTCATTCAAACATATACTCCATAGAGCACTTCCATTGGGGACACACCTAACAGGGGCAAGGGGGGTAATAGTCTCTAGGCCACCGACACACGAAATTCAGTCTCTCAGGAGTTCCAAATCCTATAGAACAACTCTAGATTTTTTAAATTTGTATAAACTGCTTTATCCATTAGTTGCTGGAAATCTACCTGAATTTGGATTTCAGTCCAACAAAGAATAACTGTTGTCTTCCAGCGTCTAGCAATGCATGTTTTCGTGGCCGTTAAGATCTGCATCAGTAGCATTTGAAAGGGTTTATTTAATCTGGGAATGTCCAAATGAAAAAGGAAATTCTACAGGGTTAAATCGTAAGAAGAACACATCTTTTTTCCTATTATAGTTTCTAGCTTATCTTTCGGTGGTAATAGTTTTATACAGTCCCACCATATATGTTTAAAAGTACTGGTAGGTATTTTGAGTATTATTTTGAAGCAGGGACTAAATATCTATATAATATCTTGATGCAATTCTCATATATATTTATATTGGGAATTGTGTTTTTTGGAAGTTTACATACCCTTTCCCATTCTTCTTCTGGGAATTCAACCCCAATTTCCTTTCCCATTTTACAATACTGTTTAATTTCCCATTAGATTTATATTCATATAATATATATATATATATATATATGTGTGTGTGTGTGTGTGTGTTTAAAAGTACTGGTAGGTATTTTGAGTATTATTTTGAACTACAGCCCATGTCATTATTAAACTGTGCTCATCTGACACAACCTACAATCACAGCCAGATATTATTATTATTTTATTATTTATATAGCGCCAACAAATTCCATAGCGCTGTACAATGGGTGGACTAACAGACACATAATTGAGATCAGACCACTGGACGTACAGGAACAGAGGGGGTTGAGGGCCCTGCTCGATGAGCTTACATGCTAGAGGGAGAGGGGTAAAGTGACACAAAGGGTTAAAGTAGGGGAATTAAATAGTTTGTTAGAGAAGGGTTTATTGAGTGCTTGGTAGGTCATTTTTGACAGTTGCAGTGAAGGCTTCATGGGGTGGGGGATGAGAAACTTGCTGACAGTTTAATTGATACGCTTTAATGAAGAAGTGAGTTTTCAAATATTTTTTGAAGGAGTGGAGGCTGGGTAAGAGTCTGAATGAGGAGGGAAGGGAGTTCCACAGAATAGGTGCAGCCCTGGAGAAGTCTTGAAGGAGAGCATCAGAGGTGGGGATCCAGGCAGAGGATAGGCGTAGGTCTTGGGCTGAGCGCAGGGGTCTCGACGGGACATACTTGTGTATGAGGGAGGATAGGTATGTTGGAGCAGCATTATGTAGGGATTTGTAAGCAAGCACCAGAATTTTGAATTGGGCCCTAAGTCTAACTGGAAGCCAATGCAGGGACTGACAGAGCGTGGAGGAGTGGGAGGTGCGACCGGAGAGGAAAATAAGCCTCGCAGCCGCATTCATTATAGATTGCAGCGGTGCAACCTGGGAACATGTAAGACCGGTGAGAAGGGGATTGCAATAGTCAAGGCGAGAGAGAACAACAGCATGAACCAGTACGTTAACCACGTCCGGCGTTCGGTATGGGCGGATGCGCGCTATGTTCTTGCATTGGAAGCGACAGGACTTGGCTATCGATTGGACATGAGGAGTAAAGGAGAGGTCAGAATCAAAAAGAAGCCCTAGGCAGCGAGCCTGCGAGGTAGAGGTTATAGTAGCGCCGTTGACTTGGATGGAGACAGACACAGGAGTAGCAGTACTTGAGGGAGGAAAAACTAGAAGGAGGCGGTGTATCTTACAATACTCTGAAGCAGATATCACTGGTATTATTTCATATGACACAAGGTTTGTAAATGGTTTCACAATGAAACTAGGGGTGGCTGTGAGTTGCAGTGGTTGTGGTGCCTAGAGTATCCCTTTTAAATACTAACCCAATCACAAATTATTTTCCCGTAATCAAGACTTCACCTTTCAACCCTGTCTGAAAATAATAGCACAGCCTGGACTGATTAAATGATGCCAGCTAATTCCTAGTCTGGGTAGTGCATATTGCAAAAGCTACAAATCATGAGGATTTTCACTTACATATTTTTACTGCAATATCTATACAATACAATTAATATAATGGTCAGCTATAATCTGGAGTGTCCCTTCGAAGCATCTAATTAAGTAAAAGTATGTCCTGTGTAAACTTTTACAGATCAGAGGAAAATGCTGATTTTTTGTTTCATTTTATTTTGCAGGGAAGATCATACTCCAAAGAGAAAATGGGCAATATTGTCTCTTTGCAAAGTAAGTATTTGATTGCATTTTGCCGTTAAGACCTACTTTTTAATATACTTCCCTCCACCTCTGGCAGAGTCATTGTGGTGTCATTAGTCAGCCCAGAACAAAAGCCTATGTGAAGTTCAAGAACAACATGCCAAGATCGCAGGGCTAACAGCAAACAAAATAACCAGTTTGCATTAATGTAATAAATAATATACCAATAAAGTGGAAAATGGCACTAAAGTAAATTTTCAACTGTCTTTTAAGTCTTATTAGCAGCAACCTTAAAGGGACACTTTAGTCACCAGAACAACTAGAGCTTAATGTACAGTATACAGCCTAATGTAGTTGTTCTGGTGAGTATAATAGCTCCCTTCAGGCATTTTCATGTAAACACTGCCTTTTCAAAGACAAGGCAGTGTTTACATTGCCCCTAGTGACACCTCCAAGTGGCCACTCCTCAGATGGCAGCACTACCGTTCAGTGTCCCCACGTTTTGCATGGGGATGCTGAATTTTCCTTTATAGAGATGCATTGATTCAATGCAGCTCTATGAGGAGGTGCTGATTGGCCAAAACAGCGTTTGGCCATGCCCCCTTGCTGATTTTTAGCCAATCCAATGGTTTCAAAGCATTGGATGGCTAAAAATGTGCTATTTTGATGATGTCACCAAGGGGGCGGAGAACTGAAAATAAGGTAAGTTTTAACCCATTCGGGTGGGGGGGGGCAAGAGGGGACAGCCATCTAAACGGTGGCACAGCGTGGCAAAATCATTATTAAAGATTAGTCAAGAAGCCACAAATGACACGTTTTGCCCCAGAAAATAATGACACAATCATAGACACTCTCCATGGCTGGTGAGTCCATGTAAGCTGCAGACTTTTTTTTTTAATTTTACTATAATTTTTTTTGCAACTGGAGTGATGTGGAATTCCCTATAGCATGGCTAACCTTAATAAGTGCAATAGCTCAAAAGCACTTTAAAACAAATATTGTACATATAAGGTGCGCTGTGCCTTTAAACCAAAATATTCAGTGTTTGTGCAACACAATATATAATATTCACAAACATCTATACTTATGAAATGCTTTTAAATATATGAATATAGTGCACTGTGACTTTAACACACAATACCAACCAAACGACGCGTTTCGCTGAGTCTATGATTTCATCATAGCTTTGTGTCTTTTCCATTGCTTCGTATTTATGTCCACCTACGGGTGCATGCATAAATTATAATTCCGAAAAACATATTTTTCCCAAACCTCACTATCAAATACAGACATAAATAATCATACACCTAATGACTAGACAAAATAATAGACTATTCTATCTACAACTGAAATTGCATGTAAACCAATTCGCAAAATATATTACTAATACAATACAAAACAAAATTGTCACAAATTACTTATATTTAAAAAAACATTAATGAGTTATTAAAACCTAATCTTAAACAAAGGAATAGAGAGAAATAGTTATACATATATAATTACTGTACAAAATTGAACAAATCAAATTCTATAGTTAATCCATAAGGTTCCAAAGTCCTCAATTTATGTATCGATTGTTAGCTAGAGTCCTATAGTAACTCCAGAAAAGCAATTATACCAGAATAGTCAACTATGTGAATTGATGATATTCATTAGGAACCTGGTGGCATTTGTTGGGAATGCAGCATCCTAAATAGGCCACCAGATTTTAAAGGAATATTTTAAGCACCATAATTACTACAGCTTACTGTAGTGATTTGTGATGCCAAGGATTTGTTGTGTGTTGTCACCTTGTCTTCTTTCAAATTGCTTTTGATAGTGGAACTTGATAAATTGGCACCTGATTTGAATCATTAAGACAAAAATATCAGACTGGAAAATCGTGATTGTAGCCTTTGTCTGAGAGCGTTCCTACATCGGTTTTCTTTGCTATATAGAGCGCAACCATGCTAAAACGATTTGAAATCTTAACGTGGGATGGTGCCTGGTGTCAGGTGCCCCTGTTACCATAACTCATACAACAGACTATAGTGGTTATGTCACTTGGAGGGTACCTTTAAGTAGGACAGCTTTTTATGTTTGCATATTATGTAATGTAAGCAATATAAACATGATATTGAGTGATCCTTGTACATCAGTAGGGTGTGCTGAAATGTATTGTATTTTCTTTCCATAGATCGTGTATGCAGTTTTATCCGGAAGAGAAGTAAGTATTTGATGTAAAGCTTAACTGACTGTGTATATCACTCTCTGCCAGGAAGCACGGTGTTTAATTTCAGTTGGTACCATACCAGTTTTTCAGCTTGTGGGTATTTTGTGTTAACATTTTAAAATTGTATTAGCAACAGCTTCTTATCAATAAATATTAAAAAAAACAACATATCAATTCTAGCTAGCTTTTCCTTTTCCTTAGACACACTATACATTCATGCTTCTCAGAGAGTTCAAAGAACTGTTTCCTGTTTCCCACACAGTGGAAGGCTGAGAGCTGCTATTTGCAGATTCTGATCACATGCTGTCAGCAGCCTTGTTTATATCTGTTACTGAGGCTTTGAAAACTGTGATGCAATTCCAAGATGAACACCTCCATGCTGATGCACAGACAGGTTTTCACGTGGTAAATACAGTAAAGCCTACTATAACGTAGACAAATCAAAATAATCTAGTGTTGCATGGTTTGATTCGCACAAACAAATCTTTTAGTGCCAGTGTTGCTTTAACCCCTTAAGGACCAAACTTCTGGAATAAAAGGGAATCATGACATGTCACACATGTCATGTGTCCTTAAGGGGTTAAGTGTATCAAGTTCAAAGTTTCATGCAACCTAAGTGAATCATTTTTAAGTGGAGAAAGAGGGGAAATTATCCTTGGATTAATAATTCCAATCAGAGCCATCCAATAATCAATACTATTACTTATATTAATATTTATATTGTGGTGTTAGAGACTAATGTTTTTGTTTTCACAGCTGGAAAAAAAACAGGAGTGCCTATTCAAGATACCGAAACCCAAGATTGCAAACACGCAAGGACTCAAGGTCGCACTCATACATGCAATCTCTGTAAAGGCTACAAGCATGAGTAGACTATGGTCATGCACTATCATTTTTTCTGACCTTGTCAAGGTTGTTTCAAACTGAAAGCTACACATACAGGCTCCAAGCACCATGACTACATCAAGTCTTTGAAGAAATATTAAAAAGACTTGGAATCATAGACCTGTTGCTTTTAGAAGAATTGAAAGAACTCTAAATTATGGAGGAGCAACTCTTATACAGAACAATACTGTAACTGTAACTTGTGTACTGGTTGCTTCCTTGGAATGTAAGCATGTTTGCACAGAACCATCCTCAAGTCTTGTTTATGTTTCCCTTAATTTGTTCATTTTTTTTTTTTTTTTTTTTATGTTTCCCTTGTACTGCCCTGCGTTTTACAGGATTTCCTTCTCTTGGATGGTTAGAAAGGGATATATAAAGGTTTGATCTCAGCCTACCTGTGTCATCATATCAGGAACACTGTTCAGCACATGGTAAGCAGTGTTGCCTTGTGCTGCAGAAAGAGAATTGAAAATGTAGTGTCATTTTCTATGAGTTTTAAAGGGACACTGTAGGCACTATAACCTATTGGGTTGGAATGGGCACTCTGATAGGACGAAAGCAGTCAGCTGACACAGCCAGTTTTAGCTTCCTCTGTTGCTCATGCTAATGCTCCCTCGTGAACCTAAGCAGCATGGAAGGGCTGTGCTGCTGAGGACCCTCGCTTAACAAATGGTTAAACAATGAATTGAAGGACAGCACCATGAGACTCCAGAAACTATAAACACTTTATTGATGTGAAGCAGTAAAAGTGCCTGTAGGGTTCCTTTAACAGTATTTTATTTATTTAACAAATCTATATTTTTCTGATGTAAAAAATAAAATGACATGAAGAATTACATACTGTTACATGTACAATTAGGCTCAGCCATCTTAACTCCCTGCAAATTATTGTTTTTAGCTCTGTCCTTTCATGTGGCTGTCAGTGTAGTGAGTGCATAAAGACAACATGAGAAATTAAACTATGTTTGTTTCTGCACCTTGTTTTCAATGTGTTGCCTGTCTGTGCCGGGATTGAACTGGACAGAGATGTTAATTTGTTACATTTAAATTTTAAAATTGGCCTCTTTTAAGAAATGTCAATAGCAAAAGCTTGTTTATTTTCTTACTATCTCTTGGCTTGACCACTGCAAGTTACTGCTCATTGATCTCTTTGTAGGCAAATATGAATGCTGATAACATATGTCTGTGTCAGTCCTTACACTGGGACCCCTGTATGTTTAATTGTAGGCTCAATTCCAAATCCTAGCCTTTACCTATAAAGCTCTCCATAGCAGTGCCCCAAATCTGCAATTTGTCCCATCACATACTCTCCGCCAAAGACCTATGTTTTTCTACTGTGTGTGCCAACATCACCAGCTCCCGCTTTCAAGATTTTTCTAAAACAGCACCATTTATATGAAAATCCCTTAGTTATTTGCACTTGTGTCCAATCAGCTTCTTCTTAGAGAACCGTTGGGACACACCAACCATGCTTCTCATAGAGAAGCATTGAACCCAAGCACTTTTCACTTTGAACTATAGTTCAAAGTAAGTGAAGCAGGACACGTTCCTGACAGTCTGCTTCTCTTAAAATTATCATTTTTATAAATTATCCCTGCTGGGAGAAGTAGCCAACCCATAAAGCACTTCAGGCTTTAGAGGACTTGAGTTTCCCTTTAACCCCTTAAGGACCAAACTTCTGGAATAAAAGGGAATCATGACATGTCACACATGTCATGTGTCCTTAAGAGGTTAAGAAAGCCTTAAAAAAGCAACTTCTTTAGGAAGTGTCAATTAACCCCATTAACTTTTTTCAGTTTCTCATTATAAGATTGTCCATGTTTGTTAGCAGTTATGTACAACAGATAAAAGGTCACCCACAGAGACTGCAAGCAATGCAGTTTTGCTTATAGCAGAGGAAAAGGACTTTAAAGTAAAACAACGATGATATAGAATATATATATATATATAGAGAGAGAGAGAGATTATCTTATCAGATTCTGTAGATATTTTTTAAATAGGCTGTATGGTATTTTTGGAAAAACAGAATAATGGATATAATTAATATGTATGTGAACAGGTTGTTAATCCAAAGAGAAATGATTGAATACATACACAACCATTTATATTTGTTTTTCTCTAGTCTTTCTAATAAGAAGCAAAATTATGACGCAACATAGTATTAGCAAAAACAATGCATTGAGACATCTACTAAAATTCTCATATTTACTAAAGCCAAATACGGTTGGAATTCGGTCTCCCCAAACAAATATGTAGCAATCACTCAGGTGCATTTTGTTTACGAATTCAAATAAGTGCTTTTCCTTCAAGATCCTATACAAAGGAGTATTGAAGCATTAGAATGTAGTACTGATTATATGGTTCAAGTTTATATCTCAAGCCAAAATTCAAAAATAAGTGGGAATAGGTGTCTCAATGCTCAGGAGACAAGAAACGCGTTGTGGGGGTTTCCTTTAGCTTGTAAGCTAATTTGAGCAGGACCTTCAGTAACTCTTGTTTTTGTCATTACTTGTACGTATTTTAACTTATAACAAGCAAATGAATGTTGAATATGTATTTATAGAACCACAAAAAATGTAAATAAATTAATATAAAATGTAATTATTAAACAGTGATATTCTGTGTTCCTTATTTTGGGAATTAAAATGTTAAGTGACAATGCAGGAAATTTTTTTAATTGTAATATTTTATATTTGTTTTAGATATGTGTCACATACACAGACACTTTTTACTCATGAATAGAAAAAGTGAAATCAACATAAAACATAAAAAAAAGCATAATTACCACATTAACTGAGTAGTTAATTTTAGGTGCAACACAGTCAAAAGAAAGTTAGACACTTATAAGAGGACATTAGGCAGGACAGTACATGATGGAGGAAAAGAAGGGGAGGGCTCTTGCGCCAATCAACACCATCAGCCACAAATCCGATGACCATATGTGAGGGCAGACATCATTTCATAAGTATAAATGAGTGGTGGGACACCAGTTACTCTTCCAATTTCAAGCTATTTAGGTCGTGGCTGCAAGGAGGACATGGAATGCCAGAGACCTTCTATTGGAAGGTTTGAAGTCCAGCCAAAGGTCTGTAGCTAAATGAATAAAAAAAATCTGATCTGCTCCAGTGTACACAACATTGCTAAGGGTTTAAATTTGATTCGCCAACCGAGCTTGTCAACGAAAGAATCCCAAATGGTTAGCGAGGCCTGTGTAGTGGGGAGTAGCAAGGAATATGATTTCCGCAGTGATGAAGAGGTCCTCGTAGTCTGTAAAAGTGGTATCAGGAATCTGCATAAGCTCCATACTTAGCCATACGGAGGATCATCAAGGTGCATGTAAATGAGTCGCATGTGTGATTGGTGCTGCTCTATAGTACATCCGTCGCTGCAACAGGATCTTGGTCAACCTAGCTTTCCCTTGTAAAATACAATTTAGATATTGTAATTGGGAACACCATAAAAAAATTTAAGAGCTTCTGGAGAGGCTTCATTTTGACTTTGTTTATGGGGCCAGCCCGGGTAAGGCTAACATCCTATCAGTTTGAGAGTACTTACCTAATAATTCCCAATAATGGGATAAAGGAAATCAATAACATTATGAAAATAATTTCACAATTAGGTCAACACAAACATATAGAAAAAAACCCAATAAACTTTATTGTCCTTTGCTTATTGTAAAAATTAGTTGGTTCATACACGAATAGCATTGGATCCATGCATCAGCTATGTGTCTCAGATATTTTCTTAAAGGGAAACTATAGGCATCCAGATCACTTCATCTCATTGAAGTTGTCTGGCTGCAGTGTCCCTGTTCCCTTAATACTGCAATGTAAAACATTTCAGTTTTAGTGTTTCAATCCCGTCCCGCAGTCTGCCCATATGGATACAGTGTATGTGTGTAGAGTGGATGCAGAGTCTGTGTGTAGGGGGGCTATATTCTCTGGGGGAAAGGTTTTTTTTTTTTTTGTGCAGGCTGCCAGGTGCTCTGTAGTGAAGAGGGGACCAGGCACACACCATCTTCAGCTTCCAGAAACTGTCTCCAACTCTTGCAAGCCTGGGTTGCGCGGAGAGTTGCCATAGTAACCTGATAGAGTTAGAGAGCTTCCGGAAGCTGTAAATGGCGTGTGCTGGGCTCCCTCTTCACTGTACAGGCTGCCGGGGGCCCGAATGGGCTCACATATATAGTGATAATCACTATATATACATATATATATACATATACAGATGCACACTGTGAGAATGTGGGGTCTGGGCCACCCCGACTGTCAGGCCCACGACAACCAACATTGAATGTTAACACCGCCTTTTCTCTGAAAAGGTAGTTCTGGTGTTAATAGTGTATATGTTGGGAATGTATGGGTGTGATACGTGTAATTAAAAAAAAAAAAGTGGTGGGATTTTAACTTGACTTGGTATGGTCTGAGAAGGAATGCCACCGAAGTGACTCAGTGGTGTAGAGTTCATAGTGGCACCTGTGACCTAAATACATTATTCCATCATGGTTTCTTCATCCCCGAATACACAAGTCCCAAATGTGTACTGAGAAAAAAGAGAGTCAAACAGTGTGTGTTGCACTAATAGGGGATACTTGTGCATCATAAGGAAATGCTGCCTCATCCATTGTTACCAATGCTATAGTATATATAGGAATACTAGCTATTCCAAAGACTATTAAATAACTTGTCATTCCATATAGTAACCTTTATATTAGAATTCACCACTAGAGGGCACAAGTACACTATTTGTGAATGTATTTCTCTTTTTCTATCTTCCTTTGTATAACCTCTCCTCCTTCTCATGGAAATTATCATTGTGAAAAGAGCATTCCCACAGTATTAGTCAATTACTCTTTTATATTATAGACAAACATTAAATGTTGGGTTAAAATGGGAAATGATTCATATGTGATTTAATTAATAGAACACCATATTGAGATATACAGGGACCAGCGGAAGAGAGATCAGTCCCTTTAATAGTTCATGGTCAACGGTGTCGGATCCAGTGGGATATTCACAAATTTTAGCTCCTGTCCCGCCAACCTGTTTATGACCTCAATAGTACTTGTCACATAGATTGCCCTGAGTGGCGCTAGCCAGGGGAGCGAACAGTCAGCCAGACATGCAATAATTACCATCTCTAATTAGATTGTGAGCTTGTTTGGTCAGTATCCTCTTCAGCCACTGTTCTCGTATGTCATACATGCTTTGTTAGAATTAAAGGTTTGTCTTGTTTCCTATTGCAGAGTACTGCAGAATATGTTGGCACCATGTAAATAAATGTAATTTTAATCATGTCACAACCTTCTTACTCCCTTTGGACCAGCTCCCTGTCGTGAGTTCATACCTCTCATTGTTGAGAGGTATCCTATAGGTAAAAAAGGGTACTTAAAGAGAGAGTTGTAATGGTTGGTAGTTGCTTGGAAATGCCTTCCAGTAGAGGTGGCAGAGACTAATAATGTTCAGGATAAGCTGTGAACGACACAAAGGTGTCCTGAGCAAAAACACAGCCACTAAAACGGGGCCTTTAGGTAGAAAAAGAACCTGCCTGTTTTTATTTGCAGGGTACAGACCGTAAAGATGTGTAGACAAGACGTGCATTAGTTTACTGTAAGAGCTGTCCCATTAATCTATTACCGGAGAGGAAATATCCTACCGATAGCTGGAGGACTGGGCTTTATTGAACCTATTCTGGAGACAAGCCTGTATGTTTCCTGCACTGCAGATCCCTCTGGGCTCTTTACAAAGCCAGGTTACGAGATTAGCTTGGAGCCAGCAGCGTTCAATAAAATATTTATTAAAGGACCACTATAGTGCCAGGAAAACATACTCGTTTTCCTGGCTCTATAGGGTCCTTGGGTCCTCTCACCCTCGGGGCCCCCCTTCCACCAGGCTCTAGGGTGAGGAAGGGGTTAATCCCTTACCCGGCGCTAGGGACTCTCCTCCTTTCCCTGTCATCGGCTGAATGCGCATGCTCGGCAAGAGCCGCGCACGCATTCAGCCAGTCTCAGGACAGCATTCTCAATGCTTTCCTATGGACGCTGGCGTCTTCTCACTGTGAAAATCACAGTGAGAAGCATGGAAGCACCTCTAGCGGCTGTCAATGAGACAGACACTAGAGGCTGGTGTAACGGCTACCCAGGTAGTAAGAGGGTATCAACCGTTGGAGACGTCCTTCTCTTCCAGGCAAGTCGCTGTATAGTAGTGGAGTCGCTTATTCCCATCCATTGGATCCAAGGCAGGAATCAGGCAGAGCTCTTAAAAGAGCTAAATGATTAAGCTGCATATCCCCTTTCAATAACGAGACAAGGCTAAGTTTTGAAGGGTCAAGAAGTACTGAATTTTAATGGCAGGTACTCTCCTTTTATGTGATTCTGCCCATGCAAGGGAGACATCCACATAATTAACCCAACAACCAATAAAACATAAGGTAAATCCCACACATCTCCTCCCCTCAGATAAGCTTGTAACCCAATTAACAAAGATGCATTTTTCCCCAAGTTTTGGATGTACCCCAAATACCTGGTGTCCCCAGATAGCCCTATTCTGGGGGACCAACATATTAAAAAATCAGCTCATTCGGTTCAGTGGTTTGGGAGATATCGAACTTTAAAGTTTTGACCGACCGCACAGGCAAAGTAGCCGAAAATAGTTCCATGAGTTTTGGCCTTGCAGTCGGTCTGTGTTTGCGCGTTAAAAGTCCCGAAAGGCTTGCCATCTGCGCGTAACTCAACGTTCGCCAGAATCCCCATATACTACTAAGTCTTTCTACCGAACAGCAGGGTGTTCGGTAGTTTTGGCACGAATTTCTGGTGCTATGGAGGTCTCAGCGGTGTTCGGCTACTCGAGTGTCCGATTTTAGTTCCAGACACTCGACGGCAAAACACCGCTGTTCGGGAGTTAAGATGGCTGCGACCACGTGTAAAAGTCCCGAAATGGCGGCCACCCAGGCACTTCCCAAAGCGTTCGTGGGTTTCCCATGAAGACTGTATTCGCGGGTCAGGGAGGTAAATTACCCATAATTAGGTAGCAGGGTGGTCCGGTGTTCGGTAGTTAGCATTCGTATGATGAATGCTTTAAAAGTCCCGAACTGCTGTGAAGCAAAAATCCCCACAAAGGCTCTTCAATTTGTTACAGCTGGATTAACCCTAAAGTAAACATAGCAGTTTCAGAGAAACTACTATGTTTACAGCAGAAAGGGTTAATCCTAGATTGACCTGGCACCCAGACCACTTCATTAAGCTGAAGTGGTCTGGGTGCCTAGAGTGGTCCTTTAAGACCAACCTCCTGTAGACATTATTTGTTCACAAAGCCAAACTATAGTCTGTTCAGGTCACTGAATGTTCCCTTAACGGTTACAATGCAAAAAGCAACACTGAATTCCTACCGACAGAATGGATTGAAAAATACCCCAACTGGCCCACAAGGTACAATTTCGATAATCAGTATCTTCTGAAGACCCAGAGCTCCCTCCATAGTTGTCGCACCACAACCATGATTCACAGTTCAGCAACTCAGGAATGAATTAGCCAATAGGCATCTCCCTATTGGTGCTTGTCTAGTGAGAGTATAT